CGAATGTGTCGATCGGCCCCGGGGGAAAATCGGGAACGCCGAAGAACGCGCGGATTCGGAAGATAGAGCCGGCAGCGGGCTGCTGCTGCTCGTAATCGGTCGCGCGATTCCTCTGCCGTTATTTTTTCGCCCGTTCGTGCCGATCGGTTGAAACGTGACTCCGACATCGATGCCCCATGAACCGGGAAAGTTCCCGTGTTTTTCGCGCGAGTTTCGGGGATTTTATTGAACGCGACTCGCACGACCGGGATTGTATAAATAACATCGTTCCACCGTGCGCCACGAGTGAAGGAGGATGATCAACTGTAGATCAGTCGTAAACCAGTCGAACGAATTAGAAACGTCGAACGACGATTCTCGTTAATCCTTATCAAACGTGCGCGATTAGAGGTAACAAGTTCGCGATGGTCCATCTAAGTTGGTTGCTAGCTATGTTTAGAGTTTAATGATGTAGCCCCTCATTGAGTGCTCGTAGCGATCGGTTCGTACCAGATGTTAGGCTCGAAATCACGATAAAAGGCGTCGCGAGTCGGATTAACGGCGTCATCGTCTTTTAATTGGTCCATTCGGACGAAGTACTTGAGAACTCGACTATTCTGGCAGACAGGAATTTCGCTCTCGAGTATTTGACTAGCCGATACACGAGTCATCCGAACTTATTAGCGAACGTGTCGATCAACAATCGATAATTAAACCTCCAAGCTGAAACATCCGAAACGCCCGACTTCCAAGGTTTCGCGAAAGAAATTCGCCAGCCTGTTTCTCCGAAGCTAATCAACGAAAACCCTTCAGAGTCGCTGAGCGTGATTCCTCAGAAACGTTCCTCGCTGCACCGTCGAGATGCTCGAACAGAAGAGGTGAACGAATTTCCTCCGTTGAAGGTGAACGCGTGCTCGAACGAAAATCCGAAGGCCGAGGCCCCGACAGGTTTCACCTGCGCGCCTCGCGACGCGTAAATATAATTACGTTTATTAACAAACAGCGACAGGAGACGCGGGGAGGGGGAGACTAACGAAGACCCCGTCGACGAGCGTGATGACGCGTTAAAGCCTTTCAACCCCTCGTCCTGAGATTTATTTCTCAACTACGATCGACTTCGCTATTAACAATTCACCGAAAAAACAGACAAATTCTAGCCATATTCCATTCCTACGTCTAAACCATAATTATCAGATCACAGAAGAACATCGTCGAAATTCAAGGGAGTCGAAGAATACGTTAGGGAGTCTGACACGTTACAAGCTAAGAGGTCAATTCCTCGAAGCAACACAATCGAGTCGCTCGTTAAACCGATCAACGGGGCACGGCCGTTCGCCGTCGTGTTTCCTGATATCGCCGAAAGCGAGCCTGACCTGGGATCGCTAAGGGCGCGGAGCAGAAAGGATCGGAAGGAATTAAGAGCGCGAAGGAAGGATTCTCTTCCATGTCGCTCGAATTGGGCGGACTTTCTCGTTCGCGTCGTCGCTCCTTTCGCGGGAGCAGCATCTCGCGCTTTTCCTCCTCGAGGACCCTTTCCGAAAGGAAACTTGATTCATTAAAAACGACGGCCAAGAGCCTCGCCGGGGGGGTGTTCCTTTGTGCATTGGTCCGCGCGGATCATCCCCTTTCTTCGTCTCCGTCGGTCCGATCCGCCGCGACGCGACGCGTTCGGGAGGAATCATTTTTCGGCGTTCGACGGAATCCCGCGCGGAAATCCGCGGAGGGAAGCGTGCCCGAGAGCGGACCGCTACTCGTCGCTGGCGAATCGATGCCGGGCTTCCGTGTCGCGCGGCCAAAGAACCGGTGGCAGCGCCACAGTTTTCTTTTCTTTCCTTTCTTTCCCGCTCGTTTCCCTTTCTTCGGGACGCGCGTCGCGTTGGTTAAACACTGCAATATTTAAAGGCGACCGCATTGTCGGCCGCTCGCGCGCGACGGCTGCAAAAACGTCGGCGACACGTGCGTCGCCGTGACACCCGGCGACCCGGCCCGCTGACGAGAATGCCGCGAAATTGCGGTTTAATGAACGGACGTGTTCCACAGGGGAGGCCGGAGAAAAGGAACGCCAAGGCGATTCCGACGCGACACGACACGGCGTCGATGACGCGCGCGACCTCGCCGCGCTTAAGCACATGACGCGTTGCATTTTACGAGACGCGGTAGCGCGCCCGCCGCTTTCCCCCCTTTTCGTTTTTCCGCGCGTCGATTTCCATTCGACCAACCGCGGCGACGCGAGTGTCCGCGAAAGGTGAATACGTAATCGCGATGAAAGAAGTTCGAGCATTGATTGACCCCTGCCAACGGTAACAAGACAGCCGACATTGTAATCGGTTCTCTGGAAGTTGATCGAGACTCGAGGAAATCGGAGGGTTGAGAGCCAGTGGGAATATCACCGAGAGCTCGAGCAGATTTTTTCGATTCATATACGTTTCAGTCTCGCGGAAAATATATCGCGCGTCTGATATGATTAAAACATTCGGGGAAAATAAACTTGATGCGACTGGGAACGTCCGCAAAAAATGCCGTCGAAAAATGAGTACATCCCGCGAGCACTCGGCTTTGGCATGTCGCGTAATTAGCCACGCGAAATTTCCCGTCGGGCTCGCCGGGAAACTGCCGAAACTTTCGATCGACGCGTCCAGTCGGCGGACGTGAATTCGAAATCAAATTTCATTTCGACTCTTCGCGGCGGGTCGGCGGTAGACCCGGCTCGTAACGGGACCGGATCCGCGACAGTTTGATCTTTCTAATTGCACAACGGTCGGCCGGTAGCAATTAAACGAGGGCTCGCGTGCTACGCGTCTGCCTGGAAAAATTGTTGCCCGCTAAGAACAAGAAAGAGGCACGCGAATGACGCGGTTCCGCTCGCCTCGGGCGGCGCCAACGATCGAGAACCGCGAGCCTACGATCGCGGCCGGTGGAAGGAGTGCATTGTTCGACTTCGGGAACGGTATCGACCGACGGAACGCGATGGAACCGATTCGCCGTCGAAGGGAGCACGCTAGCGCCGGTTTCGAAATGCAGATCAGTCGAATTTAATAAAACCCCGTGACGCCCGCGCAACTCGGTCAGTATGCGAAATGAAATATCGAGCGCGTTTCTTCCACCTTTCACCTTGTTTCGCGCGAGCGAACCGTGCAACGCGGCCTGCTGAATTAACCGAGCCCGTGAATGGGGACTAAGCGATCGAAATCTAGCAGAAACCTTTCCCAGCGGCGTTCCGAATTACTTCCCGGTAATTAGCTTCCGGAAGGGTCAAGACCTTGGACCTCTGTCAACAAGGGAACAAAAAGCGACAGCAATCTATTGTGATGAAAGAGAGGAGAGTGGCTAAGGGAAATACTTGACGCGTATTTTTCTTATTGACCGGTCCTGTTGAACGGGTGGAAATGGTAGTCGAAAATGAGAAACGCGTTAGGTAGAGCAGTATTTTGCGATTGAGAATTGTTTCGAAACGTTCAACGCGTACTACGGAAAGAATAGCGAATATCCGCGAGGATCACTTTTAGCTGATGCTTCACGAAAATCGAAAGCCACCTAGACACGTTCCCTCGGAGGAACGTTCCACCTCGCAAGCGAAGAATCTCGTATTTATTAGAGCGCGAATTTCAAGAAAACCGTTCGGAACAGAACGACCCTTGTCCTGGTTCCGATAAAGTCACAATGTGACAACGTCGCCAATAACGTGCGGAACGTTCGTAATTAGTCATGCGAGGGTACACAGTGCAGAAGGAGAGCGGCATTGTCGCGATAGATTACGGGGTTGTCGTCGCGGCGAGATCACGAGGATTTTCCATCGCGCCAGTGATTCACCGGTACCGGCGATAGAACGTCGCACGGTCGTGCTATCCGGGTGGAATCGAAAATCCGCGAGCGGGACGGGGCGTATAAATGAAATAATAGAAGGAATGCCGGGGCAGAGAAAGCGGGGAAAAAAGCTATATTCGCGATTACGTATGGAGGAGATACATTACGGGACGATAACGACGTCGGGCAGGAGTGGCTCGATTTATCAAACCAAGGCCCGCGCGTCGACGAAAAATCTCCCGGCCGGCGGGGCGCGGGGGGGGCGTGCGCGGGGAGGGAAAAAAGGAATCGTTAGAATCCGCTTTTCGTGGGGATGGGGCGGTTTGCGGCGGCGTCGGCGGTTCGAGGGGTCTGACCATTTTTCTGTCGTTCTTCCAGCAGGTCCGGCGTGCTCGCGAGGAAATAGATAAATCCGCGGTGGCGGCGGTGAGATGTTGAGCGCCGCGGGGATCGTCGTGGGAGCGATCGGGTATGCTTCCGTTCGAGCGACGTGAAACAACGACGATGACATCGTAGTGCTCGACAGGGTGGTTCTCGGATGACGAACCGAGTTGTCGCATCGTCGAAAGTTGAACCGGTGAAAGTGGTGGTCCTGGCTGGCAATATGACCGACAGGATCACGTAGTGCCGCGAGTGACGTGCCCGTGTACCACGCGGGCGTAAGATATAGACCGGCGAGAGAAGAGGATAGAGAAAAGGGAGTACGACCCCTGTTCTCGTTCGTCCAAGTGGCGGGTGTATATGTGTACGTG